AGTAATCTTTGCAAAAGGTAGCCATTATGAAGACGTCCTACGAGTTTGTCTTGTTGAGTCTGTTGGTCGCATTTTCCTGGGAAAGTCCACTAAATGCACAGCCGCCAAAGCAATCTGTTCGTCAGGTAAAGCTGCCGTCACAAGCATACTTAAACTATACTGAGTTGCCGGTTATCTTTTGTTTAATCCAGCTTTAATTTCAAAGTTGACGTTCACCCACGTAAGGTCCAACACAGCACGAAAAAGGAAATTTAAGTAAGCGAAATGGTAGCGTAATGCTGGTGTAAAACTCTCTTTTACGGTATGATCTTTGCGTAAAGCTGTTCAAGAAAAATTTTGGATGCTACAAAGGGAACTTTCTCCAAAAACGTCAGTTTTTGAAAAAACCTTTCACTTTAAATGTGTTTTAAAAATTCCTACGCTGTACGTTTAATGAGTTTGGTCGTTTCACGTTCCAGCCAACGCGAGTTCAAGTCTATCACGAGGCCTTGAGTCAAGCACGAGCCAATCTCGAGTCAAGCCCTAATATGTTATTTTTTATTATTTTTGAGTTTCATGGCCACAGAAAAGCAGGTCTAGAGGATTTCCTGACAAATATAACACGCTTCGGCTTAGCTACTCTTACATCTGAGTGTTCGGGTGTTAAATGCTACAAGTATCTTCCCATTCCAAATCAATTTTCAAGGTGTGATGTTGAGATGGAACCCGCTATGGTTGGAACTCGTGAGGGAAGTTAACGGATATGCAATATCGAATTACGGTGAAACCCCATTAAAACGGACACTGAAGGCGCGATAGAAAGTGTCCCAGTGTTTTGGCATGCGGTGTCCGTATTAGGCTAGACCGCGAGCGGTCGTCCTTCTTTCCTCACAGCCACATGCCTGCGAGCGAAAAGGTGAAATTAAAATAATGCAAATTACTGTCAAAAAAGGAGCAAAGATTGGGGCACCTCCCTCGTTTCTCGTGCTCGCATTCTACCCGGTCTCAAAAGAAAAATAAGAAACTGCTCACAGTGTAGTATTAAGTGGGTCATAATATTAAAGTCAAAAAACACAAAATACAAAAAGAAATAAAACAGGATATTAGTAGTGGTCAAATTGAACATCCCTTACCCTCATAAAGCCCTCATTCTACGGATAAAATCTACGGAAATACTAATAGTCGCTTATCTATATATTTCTTATAAATCAAAAGCATCTGAACCATTCTCTGCATAACTCGTTTGATGCCGATTGAAAATGGTCTGGAATTGGCGTCTATACCTTTTCCGTTTCACTTTATCGCAGGGAAGTGATCGATATGCTTTTAACTAAAGTTTTTTTTTACCTTAAAAAAGGAAAAGTCTATTACAACAGAAAGTTGATAATGAAGTGTCCAAATTAGCGGAATTGGCTTTCTAAGAATATCTGTTGATTGGGCAAGGAATAGCTGTCTGTTGTCCGTATTAAGCGGCGGGGTCGAATTTAAATAAAATGTGAAGGTTTTCCCCAGGGACAAAGAAAACTGTCCGCAATAACGAGGTGTTCGTAAAGTGGGATTTGAGTGTGCTTTAAACATGGTTAGTAGCTAACTATGCTTTTAAGAAGACGTAGAGACGGGAAGCGTTGTGTGACGCCGGCCAAGCGGATTCAGCAAGACCTGGGTACAAAAATATCCAACCCAGTTTCAAGCCGCATGAAGTTTTTTTCGGCGTTATCAAATTCCTTGTATGAATCTTTTTTAGGCCATAGCATGAATATTTTTAGGGTTAATTGGAGTGCATGAATTTTTTTCATTTAATTTTCCCTTGCGCGAATATTTTTTTGTACTTCGCCCGCCCCCCCCCCCCCCCATAAGTTTTCTAATGGTCCGTCCCTTACCTAGGGCAGCCTGGGTAAATTCTAATATGGCGTCTCGAACAAGCGAAGACGGACAACAAGCTACAACAGGTGTGCACAGTTGTTATGCAGCAGTGAATTGAAACCACTGCCCCCCGACCCCCGGGACTTAGCGGGGAATGTAATATTTCTGAAATTTGAATTTCCCGCCATTTTGTGCTATTTTTAGTAATACTGGACAGAGGCATAGCGTGAAATTTTGACTAAGTTGTTCTTACAAGAAGAAAAGTTAGAGCACCGAAGGCACTCCGAACTCTGGGGGTCTAAGGTTTTACATTTAGGGTCTCGGTATCCCAATTTCCTGTGATTCCTCATTTTCAGTTAATAGTACAAAAAAATGCACTGGTTATTTATTTATTTTACCCAACTCTAGTGTCAGTATTGGTAAGGTACTTTTTTTGGTGCCATGATAAAACTTTCCATCGATGTGAGTCCTGAGCAGTCTCATGGCGTAACACAGTACATGTATTAAGTAAACGCTTTTTAACTCATAGAGTTTGTAATATTCACTGCATTCTCTAACAGTTTGTTTGAATGATCAGGTAGACCTCTCGGGATTCAGTGACTTCAGCTGTGTTTTGCATACCTATATTCCTAATCTCACGAGTGCAAATGTCGTTCTGACGCCACACGGCATGGTATGGTAACCTCTCCCCCACGAACACCTGGGGACGGGCGAGGCTGACACTGTGAGGGGGCAGGGTAGGATACATTTTTTCGAGTTCAGCGCGTGTTTAGAACGGCGTTTGCTGAAACGCCGAACCACTGTCTCATTATCTAACTTGGCAAGTCGAACCTATGCTGGGGTCGAACCAATTAAATTGAGACGAACTTAATTGCGGCAAACGTCGAACCGTTCGTGCGCCTATTTCAAAATTAATAGGTTCAACGAATTAAATTAGAGTAAGATTCGACGTTTGCCCCCAGCAAATTATCAAGAAGGTCTACAATTGAGTAAGTGACTCATTTGGATTTTGGATTCCAATCGTCAGTAGGATTCCGGATTCCTTGAGCGGTATTCCGGATTCCAAAGCCCAGGATTCCGGATTCTAAAACAAATTTTTCCCGCAGTCCGGATTCATACAAGCAAAAAATTCCCTGATTCTGGAATCCGGATTCCCCTACATAGGGTGAAATAATTAACACTATGATTAAACGCAAGGGTACGTTACATGTCACGTCATAGCTTCACGCTCCTTTCACATTGCACGCGTTAATTATGTTACCTTGGTAACGTTAGATGCCATCAGTTAATAAAAACAGTTCTGAGTAATAGTGATCTGTGTGGGCTTACACGAGGAGGCTCCACTCAATAAGGGTACCTTTTTCAGGCTTCGGGTCTAAGTGAAAGGGCAAGGCCGGATTTCAATAGTTGAAGTATATGAAAGGGTAGGGATACCTGTCTGCAAAAGAGCTCAAAAAGGCTAAGATAAAAGTCGAGAAAACGTTCTGGTTTGTGGTTTATTCATATTTAAAAGACAGTCAATTTATAGCAATAAAAGCGATGCAAAGTTTCAAACAACATTGTAGATATGTGAAAGGGGTACCATTTGTCAACAGAACGGTATACGACAGCGGTATCTTTTTAAAAAAAAAAAGGTATATAAAAGGGTAAGGGGTTGGACCTCGGGGCGGGGCCTCCACCTATAAACTTTATTGAGTATCACCCGGATAATGATCTCAGTCTAACATTTATTACACTCTTAGGTTGACTTGGAGGAGGACTCCATTCCAAGGAGGGCTATCTCAGAAGGTCAGTTCTATTAAGTGTTTCCGCCTTAATGTAGAGTTCTATATATTAAAGTGAATACAGGTTAGGTAAGGTCCTTGTCATAGTTCTTATAGTCTCGGTATAGTTAACATTACTTCATCAAAATTATTACGGGCGACAAAAGGAGCCCGCAGCCTATTCTTGGTGAGCGGCACTCTATTAACTGTAGAGCGGGATTTTTCCCGAATCTGTACATATTCTTGGAGTGTCCGTATAATATGTGAGTTTTAGGTCCGTCTGATGTCACGATAATCACGTGAATGCACATGCAAGTGATGCAACAATCATTATTACATTCGATTCGCAAGCACACGTTATTCAGGTACACAAGTATTGTATCTGAATTGTACTAAATGGGAGACTTTTCGATTCGCCGTGCCTGCCTGGAATCTATTCACCCAGGACAACAAAACTAAAGCCTGATCTCATCTTAGTGGGGGACACTTTTTCGGTAAAGTACGAGTGCTAACAAAGTCTAGAAATCGATGTAAGTTAAGTTTATTTAGGTTTCATTACAGTGCATGGTTTTTTTTTATGCTTTTCGAAGCATGTTACGTCGCTTGTCATTCGAAAGCTTTCACAGAGATTCACGTTTACGCCAAACAGCAAACGTGAATTTGTACCACGTGACCAAGTTTCCCCTTATTTTCCGTTATTTTCCGTTTACTCTTTATTGCTTCTACACAAAAATAAGTCAGTTTTATGCCAGTTGTAACCAGAGGAATCGTACAGGACTGTTTTTTATCTGCTTAATTTGATTCTGAGAAATTCTCAACTTGAGTCTGATGTTTGCCGTTTGCTGTAAACGCGAATCTTAATCTCTCTAATAGTAAGCTTTTAACTCCAGTGGTAATTATTCCATTTCATATCAACGGCCTTTGGTCATTGAACACGGATTGAATATTCGATTGACTAATAAGACTTCGTGCATTACCTTATACACGTATTACTTGTGTCACGCATTACTTGTGTCACGCATTACTGTTTCAATGTATCTTTGCCGGTGAATACAGCCGTCTCTCCTCGCTCCTTACCATTCGCAGGTGCCCCCCCCCCCCGGGGGCTAATCAGTCTCGCTTGCGTAAGCAGCGAGACTCAAAGTCTCCAACGCGTTTTTCGCCGCGGTGGGTAGTCCCTTATATAGGCTATATAGGTATGTGCCGCGCCAAAGGGTATGCATTTTTTAGCTGTTTTGGTAGATCTGAAATAGGGCATCAATGTCGACCATTTTGGTCTGAAATAGGGTATGGTTTGTGCACTCTAGTCTTGAATTGGGTATGTTTTTAAGAAGAATTAGCAACTTCTTCATCATTTGGCAATAAGACCACTTCCCTTTTCATGTTTACGCCAACTACCGAGTACGTGCCGTAACAGCTTGTCACGCGCTCGTGTCAAGCGCCGGGCTCCAGGGCTTCAGCTCTGAAATAGGGTAGGGAAAATTACAGATTTTGGTCTGAAATTGGGTAGGGGTTTCAAGAAGCGTGCCGCACACCCCATCCCAATTTTTCTGCAAGTCCCCTCCCCGAAACTTGTGGAACACAAAAGGCAGGTCCTTGTGCCAGGCATTCCTTGCGGAGACCGTGGAAACTGGGACTAAGAATCGTTGCGTGATTGAAGCCACGCGTGTTTTGCGAAGAAAGCTTAGGAGAGGTTAGATTTAGAGCTTTTCCGCAACGTGTCGGTCGACGAATTCTATCGCTTGAAAGCGTTGATTACTTTGGAGTAAGAGAACACTACTGAGTGGTCGGGAAAAAATAAGAATCTTAATTTGCAAAATTGCGATGGTCGGGTGTTGTAAACTTTCATTGTATGCAAATGAGTCTCGTGATGAGCATGCGATTTATTTTCGGCGATTAAAATGACGTGCCCTGTAAATCACTTTTTCGATATCTGGCAGTGATGTAATTTCTCCAGAATCGAGGTCCTTGAATTTTCGTGCATTTATACACGCGTATAGACTGCTACCGCAGAGGTATTTTTGGTCGTCGCTAACACGCGTATAAAAAGTATCGACGTCGATAAAGTAGGAAGTAAAAAACCGTTAGCGAGTAAATCATGTTTCTTGTAGAATTAATCGCCTCCTCATTTCTCGATCTAATCTCCAGGCAGGCGAGATGTGTATGCCGCTGTAAGCGCGTTCTTGTTGTATCTAAGCAACTGCGAATAATATCATTGAATTAAACATGAGTCTTGTTTATTGTGTTGTTCAATCCAATTTTCATGATCCGCAGTGATTCCTTTTGTTGACACTTTTATAACAAAAGGGAATTCACATTGATATGAAAGCGGTTTCGCCTTCACTTCCTAGCCAACAACTAATGCTAGTCAATTTTCCTAAGTTTTCACTGAGAGCATATAATTTTCCTGGTTAAACGCGCAAATGTGCAAACTGGGCACGAGTGTCAACTCAGAACGCAAGAGGATCAGAGTGTGTACGAAAGGGGGCGAGATCGCGGACATTCCAGACTTAGAAGGTTCCGGAGAAGCTGCAAACTCTCTACAACTGTTTCATGTTATTTCTCTTTCAGATTCAGGTTGTTACGACCAATCGCCGTCTTGTAGCTACTGGGCGCTCACCGGCCAATGTCATAACAATCCAAACTTGCAGAGATCCTGCTGTCTTTGGTGCAACCACATGAAAAGTATGTACCTGGAAAATGGAATGCAGTAAAACCCCGCAACTAAGAACCTGGATTTTAAGAACCTGTTAGGCTAGAATTTGCCAGTTAAATCCCTCTCTATATAAGAACCTGTTTAGCCTAAAATTTGAAAGAGGTTCTTATTTTCTAAAATCTATGAAAAAATTCTGTAGACTTGGGCAAATAAGATAAGTCAACATTCAAGTAACATTCAGAATCCTCTTAAGAGACATAGGTGCACGCCACATCACTCCAACTGCAATGTAAATGCCAATGTTATGCTCTTATAACATATTGTATTGTTACTTTCTTCAGAAAGTAAGAACCTAAACAGCCTAAACTAATGTGCTAACTATCATTTTATATAAGAGCCTGTTTAGGCTAACTTGGAAAAACCCACTGCAGGTTCTTAATCGCGAGATTTTACTTTATACCTTCTCATTATAAAAGTTGAATCCTTCCATGTGTGTCGCCTAGTTCTTAGTTCCTAGTTCTTTGTGTCTTCACGCAACTCTCCTCCCTTCAAACGATAGAAGCATTTGGTCACTACACAAAGAACGGCTGCGTGTGAGACTAGCATGTTCGTTCTTCGTGAGATTCTGAGATTTTTTCAAAAACATTATTCGGAAGATGTCAGTCGAAAAAATAGGTTAAGACTCACGAAGACGACCCAGGATTTAACAGGTAGATATCAAAATGATTAGACTACTTTTTCTTGTTTCTAAACGAGAATAAACGCGATATCACCCCATGTAATAAAAAAGTTAATCCAAGACAGTCTTGGATTCTGAATTCCACGCAGTGAATTCCGGATTCTGAACACTGGATTACGGATTCCTTGTAAATGGAACTTAGTTTTTTTATCTTTTTAACTTGGAAATGGCCTATTGCATCCCTCGAGGGCGGATTTTTTTGGCAACAGTGTTTCAAAAGGGTTTCCCTGGGTACCACAGGTGTTTTTGTCGCTTGCGGCTGGATGCCTCGGTATCGGTCGTAGGCCGAAGTCATCAGGGTCACCATAAAGACTTGACCCAAAACGAAAACCGCGCATGAAAAGTCTGTGGCTCTCAGGGTACCCAGGGACTACAACTGAATGTGTTAGAAATTGTTGTTTGTTTGATTCTGTTTTCGTGGAAATTGTCGTTCCTGGAAATATCGCAACTCTCCGCGGAAAACAACGATTTATCTTGGGCCAAAATGTCTAAATTGTAATTCTATACTAATATATATCCTTTTCTGTCACCACAGCATTGCTACAGGTTAAAGATTTCAGTTGCCATGACAAATATTCCGTTCATGATTGTTATCGTTGGGCAGTACAGGACGAGTGCTACAAAAACCCCGCCTTTATGCTTCAATTTTGCTGTAACTCCTGCCGGATAGAAGGTAAGCTGGTGATGTTTATCACTAGCCTCCATCTTCTTTGTTTATGTTTTTGATATCATGGGATTTTAATCAAGTTATGGAGGCATTGTGGTACTGAGTGGTCAGTGCGTGAAAAGCGCGCATTTCGGAGATGCGAGGTTTGATTCTCTGTTTTGACCACCAGCTAGACTTTTCATAGTACCTAGTCCTAACCCTCGACCAGCCTTGCAAAAAGGCAGTCGCCAGTTGGGATTGATTATGGACTTAAACTTAATTTTTATTTCTAGCTGTTAAAGATTATTTGAGGGGAGTGTGTTCGTACTAAGTCGGCAGCTAAGTAAATATATTCATTTTATGACATTAATTTAGTTCAATTTAAATTTTCCAAGTTTCGTTACTTGCACATTTTTCCACCCTCGCACAACAAGTGTTGATAAATTGTATGATTTAGTTTTGTGTGTTGTAGTAATTTCTTCTGAGAAAATATTTGTCTATTTTTCAGACGTCGTTATCCCGTGGTAGACCACTCAAGGACACTGGGACTGTCAATCAGTAATCAGTATTTCAATTCAAATGTCAACGTTTTATAGTTTGTCTAGCTCGTCACCTCGCCACCAAACCATTTAGTCTGCAAACACAGACACAGATCGTCGCTTCTATACAACCAGAAATACGTTTGTGTTCGCAGGCTACCAAACCATCTCGCCACAAACGAAATTGCTACCAAGAATAGAACTTAGCGTTCAATATTGTTTTAAAACGTCCCAAGCATACCATATAAATGAAAAGAGCTTCATGAACGGACATTTTCTCTTCACCGTTACGTTATTATCATATCTCAAAGAAAATGACTGGTGGTTTTAATAGGGAGCTAATAAAGCAATAAAGACAGCGACGGCCACGAAAACGTCAATTGAATCATTAAGTGAATTTGCGCTGCTTCAAACTTAGTCGCGGTTATATTCCAACTCGTTTAATTCGTTAAATGTTGGCGGCAAACTTTTCTTGAGCTGAATTTAAAAAAGACTCTATCGCAGTCTAGGAAAACAAAAAGAAAGTCGTTGAGCGCTTACCATTTGTATGGAAAACCCGGAAAATTCGGAGAGAATTCAAATGGAACGGTTCGTCCTGGTGGAAATTTTCCGGAAAAAAAGTAATATACTTTCGAGGTATTTATACCTTTTTTCGGTTCTTACCGAAACGACCGAAATTTTCCGTATCATTCGTTTGGATTACCAGGGCCAGGGTTCAAGTCGAGAGAAAGTGAAAAATTTACCGGTATTTTGTTATTTTATTTTTTTGTTTTTTTGGCCAAGAGAAGGGCGACTGCCCTTCCCATTTATTTCCATGTAAGACAATTTTACAGGTTGGTATGTAGACTAGGGATGGAAGAGAAAATAAAAATTACAGAAGATGAACTAAATGATCACCATCTAGCGAGCATAACACACTGTTAACTGCTCAAAAACGAGAGAATAAATCTAAATCATTATATTTGTACAGATATAGAGAGTGTTCAATGTTCAAGCGTTCCTTTATCAATAAACGAGCAAAGTTCTAAAGATTAGCTGATCGGTGCTCATGTCGTTGTATGTTACACACTGTCCATATAGTATATCGCGTGATATTAAGAAGGTAATTACAGATGCGATTTGACAAATGATTTCGGTTATCAGAAAAGCTAGTTCGTACAATATGTTTTAAAGTAAGAGTACCAGGAGAGCCAGTAATATGTGTAATAAATTTCTCACAGGGACCGCGGAGACCATTTTAAAGTGGTGGAGCTAAAAAATCTGGCCAGTACAAAGAAGCATTAAGTTCAGTGTTTCGCCATTTATCTTGCATTTGCGCGCCATCTCATTTACAACCTCAACAAATATAACATAAACGTCGTCACTTGTTATAGTGTCCAGTGTAGCCAATATGTTAAATAAACCTTCCTAAGATTGCTACTTTTTGAAGTTGTCTGCAATGCTGAAGTTTCTCTTGAGGTTTTCATTGCGGGAAACAAACTCCTGTGCGACGTCAGCTATAGAGACACTGTCTGTTCTCCGCTTGTGACCATTCCGGCAACACTGCTAAGTTGCTAAACCTTTCGTCACGCATCTTGGATCGAAACGACGTCTTCAGACGCCGTGCAGATGAGAGTGAACGCTCGCCAGCAGCACTGGTAACAGGATTTACAGCAAGCAACTTACAGATAGTTTGGACTTCCTGAATTAGCCTCTTTTCTGGTTCTGGAAACTTTAACACCGCCAACAGCATTTCGTTAAAACATGATATCTTCTCCTCCTTTAACATAACTTCCAAAATACTTAGTTGCTCAGGTAGCGCCCCTGTATCAACATCTTCGCTGTATGACGCATCACGAAACTGAACTCTGCCTCGTCGTCACCAATATGAGCTTTAACCAAGAGGGTCTCCATCTGGGTGTAGGAGCTGAAGCTTTCCTGATTAACGCGGTGATATATAGCCCGACAATAAGATGAATACCCTCATAATAGACCCCTCTAAAGTGATCTTTGGCAGTTTGGGGATAGCTTGGTGCACCAGCACCAACCTCCAGTCTGACCAAAGTGCGTCGTTTTCTTGGAAGCGTTGGTTCGCTAAGCAGGCCTTCACTCTTGCAGACAACATCAGCATAGAAATGGTCCAAGCTTTCATCAGTGCGAAATTTTGTCAGCGTCTTCTTTGTTAGTTTTGGCAGGCGTTGTCCAATGACAGCAGCCCTCTTAGTACCCTGAAAATCCTTAGATAGATTATCGGTATGGGAATAAAGGTACTCTCCAAGATGAAAAGCAAAGAAAAAGTCAAATCGCTCCTTCCATTTTGGGCCTTACATCTTATTATCCTTACAAGCAAATCGGGTTGTAATCGTTCGGACATACAAACACCCAACTCTTCCATAGGGCAAAGTCCAATAATTCCACGGGAATTTTTTCCATGTCAACTGGAGCCCTAGAAAATAAATCCCAGCAATAAAAGTGGTAGGGCTATAGCCCTACCAGCCCCTCCATCTCCGCGGTCCCTGTCTCAGTTTGACGTAATAGGGGTTGTACGGTTGCCAAGAAAAATACCAGTACCATTTGACGGAAATTTTTCACCGAAATTTCCGTACAAATGGTAAGCGCTCGTTGTCTTGTGTTCTCGTCCTCCAAAAACCAAGAAAAAAAAGTGAAATTAGCCACTTTTCACGTCGTAGTTGTGCAGTGACGGCAAAGAAATGTACAAAAAAACGTGATGCACGTGCAGACTTATTGTTTTTTCTAATCAAGCCTGTTGCTTTTTTGCCGTTCTCGTTGCCGTCGTCGTCGCTTTTAATTAAGCTCTCTAATGTGAAACTTTTCTGGCAGCCGTTAAAAGATATTTTCTCTCGCTATAGCTTTGGCCCCGAGGAATTCTTACTTTGTTAGCCGAAATATTGGCCTACAATAAATCAGTCCTTTGTCGTAGTGCCAGCCTTACATTCAGTTTTGTTTTGTTCTTTAATCTGTCATATGTCAAAGTTTACATTCACCGGACCTATCATCAGTATTCAGCTCAGACGTTCGGCGCAAGGATCGTCAGTTAGGATCGACAGATTTGTATTAGAGCTGATTCGAATAAGTTTGACGAAAAAGTAAAAATCGTAGATATTAAGTGATCCCAGGTATTAAACTGCGTCAATTATTCCAGAGCAAGAGAGGATAAAGGGGAAAAGATCAAGTAAGAGTAAAGCGGGGAAAACGGGATAAGGTTTAATCCATACAAAGGCAGCCCAAACTTGCATTAACTTGTCTGATCTTTTGCAGATGATAACGCAGAAGGCAGTGCATTCTTGTCACCATAAAAAATTGCAGAAAAATACCACAATACTTTTTAGTGTGCGGGCTTCCCTCAAAGAAGCTTTTTCAAGAACTCCCGCCTTTGATTTTATTACGTGTCGGCAGCTTTTAAACTTTATACTCCGTCAAATAGGAGGCGGTCTTCGAAACCATCGAACCCTGCAACTAAACTATATGTTTACTATTATTGGTAATATTGCTTGCGCATGCGAATGTGACAGATATGTAAATTGTTCCACTGAAAAGACGATGCATTCATGGTTTACCACTGAACCCGCTCTCATATGAAATCATGGTATTACTGTCAATAATGGTCCTTGTTTTTGTAAATTATTCTCACAGCAAAAATGTCGAAATTATGCCTCTACAGTTTAGTTTAAATGTGGTAAAAACACCTCAATACGTATGCAACAAACACAGTAAATGGCAAACACATTTACCCTATTTACATCTAGAAACTTCAAGAGAGCATAATTCGTTGTCTAACAACTATAAAAACTCAAATAATTCACAACCAGCACGCGGGCGCCATCTTGGGTAACCGAGCTAGTTATGCGCATGCGTTGAGTCTTGTGTCACCTCCTCCGGGACCAAGAGAGGCTTTGATAGATTGTGCTGGCATGATTTTTAGCATAATTCGTCATTAGGAGCAGAAGTTTCCTCTATTTTGCGAAAAAAAACGGCTTGGAAACTAAAATTTCGAGGACGTTTTTGGACTTTTTACATTTAGGGCATGAATTTTTCGTCATTTCAGGCCATGGAACCTAAAAATGAGCCTAGCTAGCTGTAAAAAGGGGCAATACGGAGGCAATACGTCCTAGCCGGCATGATCACATGCTGTTTACGGGAAATTCCCTCATCCATGTCAGGAAATTCTGTATTTTAAAGCCTCCCCTAGGGCATGACTCAGCAATTGAGGACATTTCTGCTATGTTTTCATTGTTGGTTAGCATGCAAGGATTTTTCGCATGCCTATCGTCAATGATTTGCTCACTGGTAATAGAGGGGGTGGCCCCAGAGTGGTTTTGCATTGAAATTGGCATGCAACAGAATTTCGCATGCCCTGTAAGCATAATTTGAGGTTCTGTGACCTTCTCACCCAGGCCGCGAGAAGCCTAGGTTCTAGTAATAAGTAATTCATACCCAGCAAAATCTCCGGCATGCCGGGCATGCCAAATTTTCTGACATGCCCGGCATGCTAAATTCTCTGGAATGCCGGGCGTGCCATAATCTGGGTCATGCCGGGCATGCCAAAATTAGTCTCTGGCATGCTCTCAACGAACAGGTTATAATTCCTTGAATCTACAGATATTTTAAGCCTGGCTAAAAACAAAAAAAAAACTAAACAGATCACAGTGCTTATCTTTTGATGTACGGTTACACGATGACTTCATTGCTATTCCTTTCATTTTCATAGATTTGGTTGTCCCAGAGAACTTTAAATAACAAAAGCTCTAATTTTCACAAGCAAGTAAAACCCTGAGGGATTCGTCCGTAGTAATAAAACAGCGTCATCGTGGAGATGACCCGTTGGGGATTGTAAAACTCCTCACCCCTTTTAATGAGTCTTTAATAGGATTCCCATTTCACATTGCGAATAAAATGGAATTGACTGAAATCAGTAAAAAAGAGACAGAGACTATTTTCATTGTATAATAAAATGCATCTATGTTCCATGAAAACTTTTAAAAATACAAG